ATGTCCGTCTGATGTCTGTCTGATGTCTGCCTGTCCGCCTGATGTCCGTCTGATGTCCGTCTGATGTCCGTCTGCCTGATGTCCGTCTGATGTCCGTCTGATGTCCGTCTGATGTCCGTCTGATGTCTGTCTGATGTCCGTCTGTCTGATTAGTAGGGAGGTTAAGTGACTTTTGACTTCAAGTCATGATGCAAAGGTCCCCTTTGGTATGGAAGTACCTTAGGGCCCTAGAAATAAATTGATCCTAAGACACAAGTGAGATCACATTTTGTATCTTATATACGCACATTTTTTAAAAATGGCCGCCGACCATACTTGAGAGGCCCATATCTTTGCTTCTGTTATAGCTAAAATGACAAATTTGGTATCAACGTGTACATTTTTGTGGTCAATGAGTCCAATAAAATAGGTTCCAAGACTAAAAAACAATAATGTTGTCCTTACCATGACAATTGGAGGTGAAGTATGCAATTTTTTATTAAAAAACGCATACCAAACACTAGGGATGCACCGATCCACATTTTTTCACTTCCGATCCGATCCCGATACCTGAATTTGGATATCGGCCGATACCGATACTTTTCCGATACCAGAGCTGTGTTTGCTTTAATATTATTATTATCATTATTGTTGATTTTATATGATGCTGAAATAAACTCCTCTCTACAGGCAAGTATGATATGTACGTATGTATGCATGTCAATATATGTATATATATATACAGTATATATATATATATATATATTAAACAATAGATAAACAAAAGATAGAAAATTAAACAAAGATACACATTATACAGGCCTACACAGTGCTTTAATTTCAGGAAGGTCTACTAACATTTTTCAGGTATGGTCTAAAAAGAATTATAATAAAGTAATCAAAAGTAAAACAGCACTGCAAAGTTTATCATAGATAGATTTATGCTTATTAAAGCTAAAGTTATTCATTCAAGAGCTTTGAGTGATTTTCTCTTTGCCTTTTGTTGTTTGATTCTCAGTAATGGAGCAATCGTCAGCATGTTTATTAGACTGCTTCCCCTTTAAGAACGAGTGCAGATCTAATAGTCTACTGATGCACCATATTTTCTCCCAACTATTTCCATAACTACGTCCATTTTAGACATAAACTGTTAAGTGAATCTCCAAGCCGGTCATTTTGACATTTTTGTGTAGGCTACATTTGATCATTTGGACGCGCATATGAAGCCCAAAGTATAATGTGCTTGTCTCGTTGCGGTCTGTTTCGGAGCGCGCGCGCCGCGGGAACAGCATCTCTTGCGCAGATTTTTGTGCTTTTAATAGCTCTTTTTATTATTAAAAGCATCCCGCAATTTAGCAACAGTAGAGACTGCATTTTACAACAATCACCGATCATGCTGATGGGCTGTCGTGTTGTGCGCGCTGTGGCACCACGTGAGAGATCTCTCTCTTTCTCTTCTGGACTGTGAATAGCAAACATGCATCACAGACAAATGGTTTAATTAATACGGCTTTGCAAACATTGCATTTTGCTGTCTTGCTCTGCTGCGGTGTTTCCAGTGTGAAGTATTTCCACCATAGGATTTCCACACAGTGAACATGTTGGCAGCTCAATGCTATCCTGTTTGCTGGCTGCAAACTGCGGAATGGATTTCCTAAGGGGGGGGGGGGGGTCTCTGTGTCTCATTGAGCCGCGCCTCCGTTCAGGAAATCCATTCCACAGTTTGCAGCCAGCTAGCAGACTAGCCGGCGGGCCGCGGGAATCACTTTTGGAGTCGTTTCAGCAGACAACGTTAAAGCGCAGACATGGCTCATGGATATCGGATATCTCCGCAGGTTGGATCGGGAAAATCCGATACGTGAATTACGCTGGTATCGGTCCCGATACCGATACTGGATCGGATCGGCCCCATCCCTACCAAACACACAGTCCATTCACAACTTAATAATTTCTTCGTTTAGGTCTGCTTCGCATGCGCCCTTTACAGCACTGGCTGAAGACGCGGGTCCCGCGTCGAGCATGGGCATCCGGTCGTTTACGTCTCAAGGTAACTCAGAACTGTGTCACAGCTCTGGAGCCCTGGAAGGCGGTCGACTGGTATCAGACAGGTGTAAACCTGGGGGTAATCTCGAAACTGAAAGTGGTTTCGACAGACGCCTCCAATTCGGGCTGGGGTGCCCTCTACGAGGGCAGACCGACTTTTGGCCTGTGGTCAAGTCAAGAAAAGAGCTTGCACATAAACTGTCTAGAGATGAAGGCGGTCGAGAACGCCTTGCGGTTCTTCCTTCCCCTTCTAAAGGGCCACCATGTCCTTGTCCGCACGGACAACATGTCAGTGGTTTCCTACATAAATCGCCAGGGCGGTCTGAGATCACGAAACCTTCATGCACTGGCAGAACGCCTCCTTGTATGGGTTCAACGTAACCTACTCTCACTGAGAGCGGCGCATGTGCCAGGCCATCTGAATGTGGGTCCAGACAGGCTGTCCAGGGACAACGTTCCCCCAGGGGAATGGTCCCTCCATCCTCAGACAGTTCAGCTGTTGTGGGACACCTTTGGCACAGCGGAAGTCGACCTCTTTGCGTCTCAAGACAACGCTCAGTGTCCAATATGCTTCACAAAGAACAAGGACGCGCTGGCCCATCACTGGCCCAGCCGCCCTCTCTATGCTTTCCCTCCGATCACGCTGTTACCACAGGTAATCAAGTGTATCAGGGAGAACGGTTCCTCTGTGCTTCTAGTAGCTCCGTTCTGGCCGAACCAAGTTTGTTTCCGGAGCTGATGCAGCTTCAGAGCTTGGCTCCGTGGCCTGTCCCGTTGAGGAGAGATCTCCTCTCACAGGCCGGGGGTACGATTTGGCACCCACGACCCGAGCTTTGGGCTCTGCATGTGTGGGCCATCAACGGGTACCCGTCAGTCTCCCCGACGGAGTGTTAAACACGATTACGCAAGCTAGAGCGCCCTCTACTAGATGGCTTTATGCTTCCAAGTGGTCAGTGTTCTCAGGTTGGTGCTCAGCTCGCAACCTGGATCCACAAGATTGTGGGGTGTCGGAGGTTCTCTCCTTCCTACAGGAGCTCTTGGATAAGGGTAGATCCCCATACACGCTCAAGGTATATGTGGCGGCTATTGCTGCGTTTGTCAAACATTCGCATGGCCAGTCACTGGGTAGGAACGACCTTGTAGTCTGCTTCCTCAGGGGAGCTAGAAGGATGAACCCTCCTCGTCCCCCCTCGGTTCCCATATGGGACCTTTCCTTGGTCCTGTAGGCCATGAAGGGTGCCCCTTTCGAACCTCTACAGTCTGTGGACCTTAACTATCTTCTGGTGGCTATCGCCTCAGTCAAGCGGGTGGGTGACTTACACGCACTTTCTGTTAACGTGTCGTGCCTTGAGCTTGGACCTAATGACTCCAAGGTCATCCTCAAACCAAGACATTGTTATGTCCCCAAAGTACTTGCCACTCCTTTCAGAGCGCAAGTCATCTCCCTGTCAGCCCTCTTCGGATCTGACAGCGAGTCTGACGTGAATCTCCTTTGCCCGGTTAGGGCCCTGAGAATTTACGTGGAACGTTCAGCTGCTTTCAGACGGTCAGGACAGCTCTTTGTTTCGTTTGGTGGCCGATCTAAAGGTCTAGCTGCCTCGAAACATAGCCTTTCCAGGTGGATAGTGGACACTATCTCACTGGCTTATACATCTAAGAGCCTTCGTCGGCGAATCGTCGCCCTCTGGGCGTCAGAGCTCAGTCCACAAGAGGCATGCCTCTTCGTGGGCCTGGTCCAGTGGGATTTCCCTTCACGATATCTGTATGGCGGCAGGCTGGGCCTCTCCGTCTACATTTATAAGGTTCTATAACCTGGAAGTTCCCGCGCTCCAAGCTAGACTGTTGTCAGTTTAGTTTATCCGCTCAGTTCTGCCGGACTCGCTTCCGCGGACTGCAAAGTTTTCAGTTCAGGCAGGCTATTGCCTCCCCTGACTGTTATACAGTGTTAAGCACCCTCTATGCATTTAAGGTAACCATGTTTGCCTTATATCATTCTTAAGCCCATTCCCAATGTCGGCTTTTTTATATCCCCATATCATATGAGCTCAGGGCGCTCGCCCTTGGGTCAGTGTTGTGGTCAAGTCAAGTCAAGTCATCTTCATTTATATAGCGCTTTTAACAATGGATTGTTTCAAAGCAGCTTTACAGAGATAAACATATAATTTAAGGTAACAGATTGCAGCTGGTTGTGGTAGATTTAGATTTTTTCCATAGTCAACTAGCTAGCAAGTTATTAGTTATCTAACATTAAAAAAAATTCTATTTAATGAGAAAGTCATACGAACCTCAAAGTGTTAACCTGTCACCTCTGACCTTCAACAGCTGTCACAGCTCCTGGTGCAGATGGGATGTGTTGTTGCAGGAACTGGTTTGCTAAAGTCTACTCCTGACTGGTCGAAATCTCATGCTAGGACAAATGTAATGTACAGAAGTAGCTGCACTGCTTAAATACAAAATTAAAGTTTTTGAACGAAAATATAAGTAAAGTCACTCTGATGACACAATTTTTATGTGAAATGTGCATATTTACCCCCAATTGTCATGGCATGGGGAAAAATATTATTTTTTTTTAAACTTGAAACCAATTTTATTGGATTCCTTGACCCCAAAAATGTACACTTTGACACCAAATTTGTCATTATAGCGATAACAGAAGCAAAGATATGGGTTCTAGAGTATTTTCGGCGCATTGGTGGCCATTTTTGAAAAAACATGTTTATTTCTGATACAAAGTGTGATCTCACTTGTGTCTTAGGATAAATTTATTTGTATGACCCTAAGGTACTTCCATACCAAAGGCGACCTTTGCATCATGACTTGAAGTCAAAGGCCTATTTTTTGGGCTTAACCTCCCTACTAGATGTCCGTCTGTCTGATGTCTGCCTGTCCGTCTGATGTCCGTCTGATGTCCGTCTGTCTGTCCGTCTGCCTGTCCGTCTGCCTGTCCGTCTGATGTCCGTCTGTCTGATGTTCTTCAGGTGCAGGAGGACTCGAAGGAGAAGCGCACTCTCCTGCACAGAGCTGTGAAGCTGCTGTTTCCTGGCCTGGAGACCAAGACTGAGGACCGGGAGGGCAAGAAGTTCATCGTGGCGTATCATGCAGCGGGTCAGAGAGCGCTGGCAGGTACACACTCGCTCCAGAACATGTGTGTGTAGCTTCAGCTCCAGAACATGTGTGTGTAGCTTCAGCTCCAGAACATGTGTGTGTAGCTTCAGCTCCAGAACATGTGTGTGTAGCTTCAGCTCCAGAACATGTGTGTGTAGCTTCAGCTCCAGAACATGTGTGTGTAGCTTCAGCTCCAGAACATGTGTGTCTAGCTTCAGCTCCAGAACATGTGTGTGTAGCTTCAGCTCCAGAACATGTGTGTGTAGCTTCAGCTCCAGAACATGTGTGTGTAGCTTCAGCTCCAGAACATGTGTGTGTAGCTTCAGCTCCAGAACATGTGTGTGTAGCTTCAGCTCCAGAACATGTGTGTGTAGCTTCAGCTCCAGAACATGTGTGTGTAGCTTCAGCTCCAGAACATGTGTGTGTAGCTTCAGCTCCAGAACATGTGTGTGTAGTTTCAGCTCCAGAACATGTGTGTGTAATTTCAGCTCCAGAACATGTGTGTGTAATTTCAGCTCCAGAACATGTGTGTGTAATTTCAGCTCCAGAACATGTGTGTGTAATTTCAGCTCCAGAACATGTGTGTGTAGTTTCAGCTCCAGATCATGTGTGTGTAGTTTCAGCTCCAGAACATGTGTGTGTAATTTCAGCTCCAGAACGTGTGTGTTGTTTCACCTCCAGATCGTGTGTGTAGTTTCACCTCCAGAACGTGTGTGTGTAGTTTCACCTCCAGAACGTGTGTGTGTGTGTAGTTTCACCTCCAGAACGTGTGTGTAGTTTCAGCTCCAGAACGTGTGTGTTGTTTCAGCTCCAGAACGTGTGTGTTGTTTCACCTCCAGATCGTGTGTGTAGTTTCACCTCCAGATCGTGTGTGTGTAGTTTCACCTCCAGAACGTGTGTGTGTGTGTGTAGTTTCACCTCCAGAACGTGTGTGTGTTGTTTCACCTCCAGAACGTGTGTGTGTGTGTAGTTTCACCTCCAGAACGTGTGTGTAGTTTCAGCTCCAGAACGTGTGTGTTGTTTCAGCTCCAGAACGTGTGTGTTGTTTCACCTCCAGATCGTGTGTGTAGTTTCACCTCCAGATCGTGTGTGTGTAGTTTCACCTCCAGAACGTGTGTGTGTGTGTAGTTTCACCTCCAGAACGTGTGTGTGTTGTTTCACCTCCAGATCGTGTGTGTAGTTTCAGCTCCAGAACGTGTGTGTAGTTTCAGCTCCAGAACGTGTGTGTAGTTTCAGCTCCAGAACGTGTGTGTAGTTTCAGCTCCAGAACATGTGTAGTTTCAGCTCCAGAACATGTGTGTGTAGTTTCAGCTCCAGAACATGTGTGTGTAATTTCAGCTCCAGAACGTGTGTGTAGTTTCAGCTCCAGAACGTGTGTTGTTTCAGCTCCAGAACGTGTGTGTTGTTTCACCTCCAGAACATGTGTGTGTAGTTTCAGCTCCAGAACGTGTGTGTAGTTTCAGCTCCAGAACATGTGTGTGTAGTTTCAGCTCCAGAACATGTGTGTGTAGTTTCAGCTCCAGAACATGTGTGTGTAGTTTCAGCTCCAGAACGTGTGTGTAGTTTCAGCTCCAGAACATGTGTGTGTAGTTTCAGCTCCAGAACGTGTGTGTAGTTTCAGCTCCAGAACGTGTGTGTGTAGTTTCAGCTCCAGAACATGTGTGTGTAGTTTCAGCTCCAGAACGTGTGTGTAGTTTCAGCTCCAGAACATGTGTGTGTAGTTTCAGCTCCAGAACATGTGTGTGTAGTTTTAGCTCCAGAACATGTGTGTAATTTCAGCTCCAGAACATGTGTGTGTAGTTTCAGCTCCAGAACGTGTGTGTAGTTTCAGCTCCAGAACGTGTGTGTAGTTTCAGCTCCAGAACGTTTTTTTTGTTTCAGCTCCAGGACATGTGTGTGTAGTTCCAGCTCCAGAACGTGTGTGTAGTTTCAACTCCAGAACGTGTGTGGTGTTTCAGCTCCAGAACGTGTGTTGTTTCAGCTCCAGATCATGTGTGTGTAGTTTCAGCTCCAGAACGTGTGTGTAGTTTCAGCTCCAGAACGTGTGTGTTGTTTCAGCTCCAGAACATGTGTGTAGTTTCAGCTCCAGAACGTGTGTGTTGTTTCAGCTCTAGAACGTGTGTGTAGTTTCAGCTCCAGAACGTGTGTGTGTAGTTTCAGTTCCAGAACGTGTGTGTAGTTTCAGTTCCAGAACGTGTGTGTTGTTTCAGCTCCAGAACGTGTTGTTTCAGCTCCAGAACGTGTGTGTAGTTTCAGCTCCAGAACATGTGTGTGTAGTTTCAGCTCCAGATCGTGTGTGTAGTTTCAGCTCCAGAACGTGTGTGTAGTTTCAGCTCCAGAACGTGTGTGTTGTTTCAGCTCCAGAACGTGTGTGTTGTTTCAGCCTCAGAAAATGTGTGTGTAGTTTCAGCTCCAGAACATGTGTGTGTAGTTTCAGCTCCAGAACATGTGTGTAGTTTCAGCTCCAGAACGTGTGTGGAGTTTCAGCTCCAGAACATGTGTGTGTAGTTTCAGCTCCAGAACGTGTGTGTAGTTTCAGCTCCAGAACATGTGTGTGTAGTTTCAGCTCCAGAACATGTGTGTGTAGTTTCAGCTCCAGAACATGTGTGTGTAGTTTCAGCTCCAGAACGTGTGTGTAGTTTCAGCTCCAGAACATGTGTGTGTAGTTTCAGCTCCAGAACGTGTGTGTAGTTTCAGCTCCAGAACGTGTGTGTGTAGTTTCAGCTCCAGAACATGTGTGTGTAGTTTCAGCTCCAGAACGTGTGTGTAGTTTCAGCTCCAGAACATGTGTGTGTAGTTTCAGCTCCAGAACATGTGTGTGTAGTTTTAGCTCCAGAACATGTGTGTAATTTCAGCTCCAGAACATGTGTGTGTAGTTTCAGCTCCAGAACGTGTGTGTAGTTTCAGCTCCAGAACGTGTGTGTAGTTTCAGCTCCAGAACGTTTTTTTTGTTTCAGCTCCAGGACATGTGTGTGTAGTTCCAGCTCCAGAACGTGTGTGTAGTTTCAGCTCCAGAACGTGTGTGGTGTTTCAGCTCCAGAACGTGTGTTGTTTCAGCTCCAGATCATGTGTGTGTAGTTTCAGCTCCAGAACGTGTGTGTAGTTTCAGCTCCAGAACGTGTGTGTTGTTTCAGCTCCAGAACATGTGTGTAGTTTCAGCTCCAGAACGTGTGTGTTGTTTCAGCTCTAGAACGTGTGTGTAGTTTCAGCTCCAGAACGTGTGTGTGTAGTTTCAGTTCCAGAACGTGTGTGTAGTTTCAGTTCCAGAACGTGTGTGTTGTTTCAGCTCCAGAACGTGTTGTTTCAGCTCCAGAACGTGTGTGTAGTTTCAGCTCCAGAACATGTGTGTGTAGTTTCAGCTCCAGATCGTGTGTGTAGTTTCAGCTCCAGAACGTGTGTGTAGTTTCAGCTCCAGAACGTGTGTGTTGTTTCAGCTCCAGAACGTGTGTGTTGTTTCAGCCTCAGAAAATGTGTGTGTAGTTTCAGCTCCAGAACATGTGTGTGTAGTTTCAGCTCCAGAACATGTGTGTAGTTTCAGCTCCAGAACGTGTGTGGTGTTTCAGCTCCAGAACGTGTGTTGTTTCAGCTCCAGATCATGTGTGTGTAGTTTCAGCTCCAGAACGTGTGTGTAGTTTCAGCTCCAGAACGTGTGTGTAGTTTCAGCTCCAGAACGTGTGTGTTGTTTCAGCTCCAGAACGTGTGTGTAGTTTCAGCTCCAGAACGTGTGTGTAGTTTCAGTTCCAGAACATGTGTGTGTAGTTTCAGCTCCAGAACGTGTGTGTGTAGTTTCAGCTCCAGAACATGTGTGTGTAGTTTCAGCTCCAGAACGTGTGTGTAGTTTCAGCTCCAGAACATGTGTGTGTAGTTTCAGCTCCAGAACATGTGTGTGTAGTTTTAGCTCCAGAACATGTGTGTAATTTCAGCTCCAGAACATGTGTGTGTAGTTTCAGCTCCAGAACATGTGTGTGTAGTTTCAGCTCCAGAACGTGTGTGTAGTTTCAGCTCCAGATCGTGTGTGTAGTTTCAGCTCCAGATCGTGTGTGTAGTTTCAGCTCCAGAACGTGTGTGTAGTTTCAGCTCCAGAACGTGTGTAGTTTCAGCTCCAGAACGTGTGTAGTTTCAGCTCCAGAACGTGTGTGTAGTTTCAGCTCCAGAACGTGTGGTGTTTCAGCTCCAGAACGTGTGTGTGTAGTTTCAGCTCCAGAACATGTGTGTGTAGTTTCAGCTCCAGAACGTGTGTGTTGTTTCAGCTCCAGAACGTGTGTGTAGTTTCAGCTCCAGAACGTGTGTAGTTTCAGCTCCAGAACGTGTGTAGTTTCACCTCCAGAACGTGTGGTGTTTCAGCTCCAGAACGTGTGTGTGTAGTTTCAGCTCCAGAACATGTGTGTGTAGTTTCAGCTCCAGAACGTGTGTGTAGTTTCAGCTCCAGAACATGTGTGTGTAGTTTCAGCTCCAGAACATGTGTGTGTAGTTTTAGCTCCAGAACATGTGTGTAATTTCAGCTCCAGAACATGTGTGTGTAGTTTCAGCTCCAGAACGTGTGTGTAGTTTCAGCTCCAGAACGTGTGTGTAGTTTCAGCTCCAGAACGTTTTTTTTGTTTCAGCTCCAGGACATGTGTGTGTAGTTCCAGCTCCAGAACGTGTGTGTAGTTTCAGCTCCAGAACGTGTGTGGTGTTTCAGCTCCAGAACGTGTGTTGTTTCAGCTCCAGATCATGTGTGTGTAGTTTCAGCTCCAGAACGTGTGTGTAGTTTCAGCTCCAGAACGTGTGTGTTGTTTCAGCTCCAGAACATGTGTGTAGTTTCAGCTCCAGAACGTGTGTGTTGTTTCAGCTCTAGAACGTGTGTGTAGTTTCAGCTCCAGAACGTGTGTGTGTAGTTTCAGTTCCAGAACGTGTGTGTAGTTTCAGTTCCAGAACGTGTGTGTTGTTTCAGCTCCAGAACGTGTTGTTTCAGCTCCAGAACGTGTGTGTAGTTTCAGCTCCAGAACATGTGTGTGTAGTTTCAGCTCCAGATCGTG